TCTCAGATTCAGAAAAAGAGAAGCCCAGCATATGACATCAAAAGAAGAACTAACTTTTGCTTCTTCCAAAGGGCTAAGCCACTAGCCCAGAGAAATCAGGGAACTGTTTCAGCAGTGGTTTCTTGGATTGCAGGAGCAAGTCATATGAGTCCCCATCTGGCACTGAGCAGAGAGGCTGCTGCTTTGATCAAGAGGGAAATATTGAAAGGAAAAAGCTGTTTTCTCCTGAAACTTCTCATTAAGGCTCTTTTGGAAGCCTCAATGTATTTTATCTTCCTCTTTCCTGCCAAGTCTTAAACTCTAATCGCAGTGAGAAACATTTCTGATGCTTCAACTCACCTTTGCCTTGGGGATGGGAATGCATCACAGGATGGAAATGCATCACAAAGTTCAGCTTATTCTGGAGGTGCATTTTATTTTCTGAGGTTTTCTGCTCGAATTATGAATGCACGAGACAAATTTTCCTAACCAGATTGTTCCATGCCAAATTCCTTCATATTTGCCTTGTTTTCTGTCGGAGTTCTCAAAGATAAAGTTTGTGAAACAGCTTCATTGTGAGGCAGGATATTTTTACCACATACCTTGAGGGTGGATAGTGTAACATCACCAAAAGTTGGGGAGCATCTTGGATTGCTCCTGAGCTGCTCTAAACAGCTTCTACTCCAGATGTACAGCAACCCACCTAGCCACAGCAAGGGTCACATCTAGCCACCTAGATTTTGAACTACACAGGATACCTTTGGCCTTTACATCTCCAGCTTCCTCATGTATTTTAGGCACAGCTGATAAGCCAGAGAGGGTTTGAGCCATTCACATAGCAACATACATGTTTTGCCAAATAGATACCCCAGCAAGGAAGACAAATCTATCAAGATTATCAACAGAAAGGTCATTATAGATTTATTATCTATCTCCTGGAGATGGAGGAGTAACATAACCCAGCCAGTCACAGGTACAACAGAAGAAACTATGAATTCAAACAATATAGCGGAGTAACATAACCCAGTTTGACTACTCATGGGTGGAACAAACAAAGCCACAATCCTGCTCACCACAAGTGATACAACTGAAAAGAAGAGAAAGGAAAGTAAGGAACCCAACAGCCCTCACAAAGTCACCCTGTGGGAAATGCCAGATGAGATCATGTTTAGATTTTTACCTTGATCATTCAGAAGGTCCTTCCTCAGGGAAAACTCTGCCTGGTGCAGCCACCAGCAGGTGAACTCTGCCAGCAGGGCCTGCTTAAATCTTGTTCTGTTAACAAGCAGGACACCTGCTGCTGATCACTCAATTGGCTTTTGTCCACCGTTGGACAAAAATTTTCCTGGGCGAAACCCAATAAAAATGTTCTGGTGCTCATCTGGCCTTTCCCAGAACAGCTGATGGCTTCTCCTCACACCACCAATCCTCCTTGTCTTTGAGGAGAAGGGAATTGCCCATGTATCAAGCCCCAGTTCTGAGCATTTCAGTCCATTTCATGCCAACTGTGCCAGCTAGAGCAGCCAAGGGTGGCTCTGCTCCACAGCCAGGGTGGTTCTGGCTGGGCACACCGAGCCCTCGTGTCCATCGGTGCTGCAGGGTTCACCTGAGGGCTGGAAGTGCATCCACCCAGCAGGCAGAGCAGGGTGATAGAACCCCAGGGAGCACAGGATCTCCCCGGGGAAGCCCTCAGCAGTCTGTCTCTGTTGGCAGGACGGGACAGCCCCCCTGTGGATCGCCTCCCAGATGGGGCACAGTGAAGTGGTGCGGGTGATGCTGCTCCGCGGGGCCGAGCGCGACGCCGCGCGCCACGTGAGTACCACTGCCCCTGCACCCCGGCAGCTCCCGGGGCTTTCTCAACCTGCAGGGCTGCCTGAGTGGAAGCCTGGTGTCCTCAGAGTCCACCCTGTTGTCCAGCTTGTCAAGCTCCACCGTGGGCTCCCTTTTTCCTCTTGGGTCTGGGATGGCTTCAGGGAGGCATCTTCAGGAATGAGGGAGTGGAAATGGCCATATAAATGAGAAAAAAAAAGATGATACATGGTGTGGATTGTTCATTTTACCCTAAAGTTTTCACCAGGCAGAGGAACAATCCTCCAGATGTGCTAAACCCAGCAGCCTGTGCTGTGAAGGTGCCTCCTCAAAGGTGATGAGCAGAGGAGAGCTCCTCGGAGAGCTGCTGGCACCTCACCCCAGCCCAGGTGAAGCCCTGGCACTCACCCTCCTCTCTCTTTTGAAGGATGGCACAACTGCTTTGCTGAAGGCTGCCATCAAAGGGTACAACAACGTGATAGAAGAGCTGCTGAAATTCTCTCCCACGCTTGGCCTGCTGAAGGTTAGTGGTGAAACACATTTCGAGGCTGAAACTCCAGAAGGGAAAGGGTCTGATAAAAGACTTGGCATTTATGAGTGTGCCAGTGGAAGATGATAAAGAGCTTGAGCCCAACACAGTGGAAAAAAAGAAATGGTCTTATTTAGCCTGTAATGTCACACACAAATGAGTCTTTTCAAATTAAATTTGATTTTTGGAAGGAGGTGGTGAGTTTGATTTTTGGAAGGAGGAAGCCCATTGTGTCGTAGAAGGAATTCTGCTTTTTGATGTCTGATTTTATTTCTGCTGTAAATGAGCTGCTGTCAACAGTGCAGTTTTTCACATTATACCCTGCCCTGCATTTAGTCAGCAAAACTGTATCCTGAGAGATCTGCTGGGATAAGATTCTTTACTTGATTTTGTTTTCCTCTGAAGTCCAAGTGACTTGAAGCATACAGATATTTGGAACCTGCTTTTTAATAGCTGACCTAATTTTACGAGCCTATAAATCACTTTGATAACTTCCATGTATGCAACTAATTGGCAATTTTTATGCACTTGAAAATGACAGTGGCATTAACATTGTTGTTAATTCAAACCTTGGCAAATTGCAGAAAATTTGCTTTACAAGCTGAAGACAGAGAAGACAGTAAGGAAACAAAATATTCCCTTCTTAAAAAATGACTGCCTGGGAGGGTGTATGGTTAATTCCAAGTGTGGTAAAGCTTCCATGCTTACTGGAGCTGTCAGTTTGCAGCCACAGACAAAAGGCCAGCTATAAAATGTCACCATTCAGCCATCTGACATCGAGGGCATTAGTCTCCAGAGAAAGAAGATAAAGTGCCCAGATGGTTTCCATTACTGCTGGGCCTTCTGTTTCACTTGCTAATGGCTAATTGTGCCAGGCCACGTGAAACGTCTTCAGTTCACCTCTAATCTATGGGCAAGGGTAATTTTGAAAAGGAAATATTGCTGTGCTAGAATGAACTTGACTCATTTTAATGAAGGCATTTTAAAATCACCTCCTTCGGAGCCCACTGGCCTGGCAGCACCCTCTCCCTGTGATACCTCACCTCTCCAGTGTGACATCTTCCCCTTGGGTAGGCTTGTTCCTTGCCAAGAGTTGTGTTTCAGTGCCTGCAGCTTCCTTGCCATGCATAAAACTCCTCTGTTGGTGTGTTCTAGAATGGGACCTCTGCCCTGCACGCCGCTGTCCTGAGTGGCAACGTGAGGACAGTAGCACTGCTCCTCGAAGCAGGAGCAGACCCCTGCCTGAGGAACAAGGTAAGTCCTGCCCCCCCTGGGCTGGGCCAGGAGTGGAGATGTGTCCCCCACGTTGGTCCCTGGCTGCCTCTTGATCCTCTCCCACTGCCTGGTTGATTCATTTCTGTGTACCAGCATCTCTAAGGGTGCCAGGCAGATGGTGATACCCGTTCTTGTGAACTTACATCACCCTCAGAAACACCAAACCCTACACTCAAGCACCACAGATTCAATTATTAGCTTTAATTGTGGGATGTCTAGGTTGCTTTTTAGGCAAAGAGTAACCCTGTTTTGGCAAGTCCTCAGTTCTATTCACACCTCCACACAGATGTGTAAGGAGGGCATTTCTGCAGCAAGGGAAATGTGTATCTGAGTGCCTCTGATAAGGAAACTTGGTTAGAATTCAGCACATGCTAATAAAACAAAATTAAAATATAAATTGCACGCTTCTTCCTCTGCAGCAAGGGAAATGTGTATCTGAGTGCCTCTGATAAGGAAACTTGGTTAGAATTCAGCACATTGCTAATAAAACAAAATTTAAAAAAATAAATTACATGCTTCTTCCCCATATCTTAATGTAAAACTGTTAGTTTATTGAAATGGTTTCAAATTCTTTTTATAACAGCAATTTCTCAGCAGAAATATTCTGTAAACTGTTTTAATAGTACATGTTTGATAATTTACAGGAAAATATTTTCCTCTGAGTTGTGTTTATTTATTTTTATCATCTATTTATGACTGGGCGAATGGAAGTTTCTAATACAAGTCATCCAGCACATACCTTCTAAATGTTTTGGTCGTTTAATATCAAATCTGTGCCTTAGCTTTCTGCTTTATTCCACGGGATGGCAGCAGAGTTAATGCCTTGCACACAGTGGTGAGGTTCATTGGAGCTCCACTTTGATATCATCATCCAATCAATGTGCCAAGTCCTCTGCCATGGATGGTGATTTGCAGCAGGAGGGGGTGCAGCATGAGAAAGTCTGTGGCTGGAACCTCTCATGCTGATTTTTCTTTTAGTATAAATCACATGCAATTTGCAATTAATTTGTTACAAAATAACTTGCAACAGAATGCATTTGCAGGATAGAATCACTGACTTCCAGAAGTAGATTTGTTATAAATATGTTATCAAAACTGTATTCAGTAAATACATCAGACTCTGATGTTCTATTACCAACCCTACAGAACAGCACTGGCTTTTCATAGAAATTAATCTTTCCTTGGATTTTTATGGACTTGGGTGCTTAAAGACCTGCTTCACCTCCCTGAAATAAAAAAATCAGCAGCTGTGCTCTGTATTACTTCTGTGGTAGGAGCACAGGGAGCCCCAGGGACACCATTTAGCTTGGAAATCACTGAAAGGTGATTTCTGAACTCCAGCAGTGGTGGAGACAGCACTGGAATAACCCCGTCCTCACCATACCCAGTACCACCTTCCTCAGAGTTTAATATTTAAGCCCCGTTTTGGCATCAAATTGCTCATTTCTGCTAACCTCAGGCTGGTTTTGTTCCAGGCAAACGAGCTGCCAGCAGAGCTAACAAAAAACGAGCGCATCCTGCGGCTCCTGCGCGCCAAGGAGAAGCAAAGGACGAGCTAATGCTCTGCCCTGGGCAGAGAGACACCCCGAGTGCAGCAGCAGCAGCACAGAGCTCCTCTGCTGCCCGAGAAGGGCTCCTGGGGACAGCTCGGGACAGCTTGCAGGACTGGTTGGCCTCTCCAGCATGTGCTCCCTGAACGATGCCTCCGCCCGGTCCCGCCGAGAGGTGTTTGGGTGCTGCTGGTGCCGGAGCTGCTGGCTGCCCTAGCTCAGGCCATCCCTCTCTACCTCCAAGTGCTAGAGATGAGATCCCACCTGGGACATCCCAACAGGAAGATTCCTCCTGCCAGGCCACAGCTTTGGTTACTCCTCTGTGAAGCTCCGTGAGAATGATCCAAATCATGCCAGAAGCTACTGAGCAACCAGCAGGGAAGGAGAAGTCCTCCTCAGTGGTAGCACCTTGGTATCTGCCAAGCTGTCCAGCAACAAACACAGCAGAGGAGTTGAAAGCATGTTGCAATGAATACCCAGGGCTGTGGGGATCCACCCCCAACCCTGCAGCCTAGGGACATGCATTTCTGTGGGGAGGGGAGGACCAGTCCCAGGGCAAACCAGCCAGGGTGTGTCCTTCACTGCCCCAAGCAGATGGGGACTGGAGCTGCTGGACACAACAGCAGAGGGGCCATGCGAGTGGTCTACGTGTGCTCTGCCCACACACACACGTGGCACCCTGGTTTAGCACCCACAGCCACTATGCAATGCACTTCTGCCTCAGGTCTGAGCTAAGGGTGTGCAGTGTCCAGATGTTCCAGCAGCTGGGGAGAGCTCCACAGGGCCACCAACAGGGGCCTGGCAAATGTCATTTTGGCCTCTGTTGTGGTTGAGATGCTGTTGCCTGCGTGTGGAAGGCAGTGCAAGCTGTAGGTGGTTTGTGAAGAGCTGTTCTGGCCACGTTGCTGTCAGATGCTGCACCTAAAAGCCAGTTGTTTTTGCAATATAAAGAGCATATGCTATGTCCTGTTAGCCACAAAAGTGTTATTTTATAGTGAGCTGAGGTGTAAAGTTAGTTCAGTACTTAAATCTAGGCACTTCACCTGTCTTCAGACCTTGGCAAATGACACAAAAAGTGTTTTAAAGTTGAAGACAGAGAAGATGGTAAGGAAACAAAATATTCCCTGCTTAAAAAAAAAGTCTGCTTAGGACTCAGCTGATCTGTTGCACTTTTGCTTGACTGAGATAAGAAAAATAAACCTGTTTGTGAGCCAGCACAAATGAATGTAGTGCAAAATAGCCATATATATATTATCAAATCATAAAGTTATTCTTCTTGTAAGCAAGAAGTCAGGGTTCTGGTGAAGAGAACAGAAGTGAGTGTAGGTTTGCTTGCAGTCTGTAATTGCTATTTAATTTCTATTCATCATTAGGAAGAAAAGCTTTAAGTTTTCCAACAACATAAAAGATATCAGAAAAAAAATCTATTTGTTTAGGTAATTCATGCTACTGTATTTTGAAATTAAAATAATGTTGTGCCTAACAAACTTACAAACTGGTACAGAACCAAAGAATTCTGCAAGATGCTTAGAGGATGTTTGGACCCAGGGTTAAGTTCTGCAAGAGATGAAAAAATACTGAGCATGCAGAAATCTCAAGAGCCTTATTGGGAACTCAAGTTGTGCAGCATCACATGGGGCTGGACTCTAACTCCTTTAGCAAGGAACACTGGAGAGGATAGGGTTATTTGGAGCCTGCTGTGGGTTGAAGATGAACCTATCTCTTTTTTTTTTGACTGATATTGGGCTATAATTTGCTTTTCTTATTTCTAAACAAACACTGGAGATGTGGGGCTAGCAGAGGTCAAAGGGAGAGGTTTGCAGCTCCCTGCTCAGTGCTGGCTGAGGGAGCACACAGGCTCTGGGCTCTGTTGGTGGAGAACTGGCACCAAAGTCTTCCTCTGTCCCATTCAGGCTGAAGCTGAATCTAGCTTCACCAAAGACAACATGGAATTTTTAGGCATGGAAACCTTCCCCTTGGGAGCATCCATTTCATCTTGGAGCCTTTGGAGAGGGTGCTTGGTTTAGTTTTGTGTCCCCCTTAACCAAAAGGTGCTTATCCTACCTGTAGATGGGCTACAATACTGTTTCTCACCATGCAGTTCACCTTCTCACAAAGAAACCTTAATAATTCTTAGTATTTCTGGAGCTGCTGTTACCTTTGAAGTGCTCATTAAACACTGCTGTGGTCGGTGTGTTGTCCTGAAGAGGAAACCTGCTTTCCCTTTGTGGCTGAAGTGAGTCACTCATATTGACAGTGGCTCTTGGCATAGTTGTGATGCCTTTTGTGGAGGCATTCACAGTGCTCTGGAGACACTTTACCTTCATAAGTTCCAGTTTTGGGTTGAGGTTTGGACTTTCATCTCCTCCCAGAGTATATCTATCTCCATCTTGCACCTCCAAAGCATCAGCACCACTAGCACACTGCTTTTAGGTTTCTCTCTCTGCACGTTCAGGTTTGGGGGCCCAGCTTGCTGCCTTCTCCACCTTGGATTTATCATGCAGGTGCTGTAGCCCCATGACTTCCCATCAGCTGCAGGTGAGGACAAGGATGTGCAACCAAGAACAGGCTACACAAGCAAGCAAAAGTCTAGGACATCTTTTATTTCACTGGTGTCAAGCCTCTGTAAGATGGGGATGGGCCCCAGGAAAGGCCCATGGGGGGAAGTGGGATCCCACCAGTGGCATAGTGGTGTAGCCTCAGAGGTCCCAGACACGTGGAGCTCTTCACTGCAGATGATCAGTGCCATGCAGTGTGCAGGGACACCCACTGAGTAACCCCACCCCAGGCAGTGTTGTACTTGGTGACCTGCACATGCTGTCCCTCCCTTGGACCAAAACCATCTCACTGCTGGTCCACCCAGCTTTGTTTAGTTTAGAAAAGCTGAGAGGAGTGGAGGACCAGAACAAAGAGCTGCAGGTCATATTTAACACACTTTAACAACAGTGTTTATTTGCCTCAGAGCCAAATTTCAAGACTAATTCATGCTTCTTTATCAGCCAGTCATGGTGGCTCTTGGGAAATCTGTAAACAAACCAAATCCCATGTTGTCTCTGACTCTTCAGAAGAATTTGTGCTTCACTGAACACTGGACAGGCACACAACACTGCCTTTGTCTGGAACCCCTGGGAGTCAGCAGTGTGAAAATGTTGATGTTTGCTACGAGTCCAACCAAAGATGACACACAAGGCTCTATTTTTTTCCCAGCAATGGAATATTGTGCTGCACACAGAGGGCTGGATGGGGTTGTGCCTTCTCACAGCAGCTCTGCATTTGCTCCTGGGGAATGTCATGATAATTTCATACTTTTCTGAATTCCACGGTTTTGACTCCCCCCTTTATGCATTTGATAAAACCTATCTAAATTTCTGTAACTCCCTGTAAGACTAATATTCTGCAACAAGAATGTTGCTTTGCTAAAACACATTTTTCCACACCATCATTTCAATAAAAATTAATATACTGCCCAGATTCTCTTGTCTGCATGCTTCAGTGTTTCTTTCCTTTCTTCTGCATTCCACTCGTAGAACATCAGAATTAATTTCCTATTTATTTAAAGACCACTTTGTTCTGTTCTACTTGATGGATTAGACTTTTATTATTTTTCCAAGTCTTTACAGATGAGATAGAATCCAGTCAACAAATCAAGCCAATGCCTTGGCTCGAGAAAAAGGAAAACTTAATTTAGTTTAACATTATGGGTTTATTCAGTTAGTCAAACATGGCTTGGTAGTTCTGTTATTATTCCTAGATGTAAAGCTGGCCTTGACACTGATCTGACCTACTTCAATTAAAAAGTCAACACCTGCTTCTTACACTATGCAGTGGACTATGCACATTATAAAAGGGAAAAGAGTCTACACTGAAAATCACATTTTTGACTTTGACATCCCAGCTTTTTTCCTTATTGCTACAATTTTCTACTCTGCTAAGCTGTATTTTGAATCATTGTCAAAAATTTTGTAATTTCCTCAAATCCATCTTTTTTTTTTTATCAATTGGTGCAGGAATTACTGGATAAAATTATAGAGCTAACATTATGTGATCATAACAATCTCCTTGATCTTAAAATATATGAATCAATACATTTGTTGCTTTCTCTCCTCAGTGATTTAAGTGATGTACTGCTCAGATGTGCTCTTGTGTAATGTATATGTATACATGTGTGCACTTTGCATCCCACATATGGGTCTAGGCTCCTGTAATCTGCTTGAAAAAGTGATCCCAGAACCTCATGGTCTGCTTGTCTGGGCTCCATCCCATGGAGAGGCATGAGATCCCCTTCCTGAAGATTCCAACAGTCTGCAGGTGCTCCCTTGGCCATGCTACTGCATCAGACTCCACTCACTGGGTCAAACTCTCACAAAACTGGCAGAATGACTTCTAGTCAAGGCACAAACAGGCTGCTCCTCGGGTGAACTGCCTCCTGTTCACAGAATCACAGGATGACAGAGTGGTAGGGGCTGGAAGGGACCTCTGGGGCTCACAGAGTCCAGCAGGTTTGCCTTTGCACAGGAATGCATGCAGGTGGGTTTTGAAAGCCTCCAGAGAAGGAAACTCCACACCCTCCCTGCTCCTCCTGCCAAGTCAGGCTTGGGCAGTGCCCTCAGCGACTGCCCTGTGACAGTCCTGCCCATATCCTCCACTTCAACAGCAAATCCTGAGCTGCTCCCCAAGGGGCAGCTCACGGGGACGCAGTGAAGGGATGTTAATGCAAAGCAGAAGCCACACACGGCCATGAACAGGTCCAGCCTCGACCTGGTGAACATCTCAGTGCTTGTGCACATTCCCTGGCACGAGCACACACTGCACCTACTTCCTCACAACAACGAGTGCATCGTGTCTCCCAGTTTTGCTGTAATAATAAGCTGCATTTCTGCAGGGTTCTCCTTCACCAGCTCACTGACCGACACCTTGTTTTGGAGCTCTTGGGCCACACGTTGCCATGCGACTGGCACCACTTTACAGACAAGCAAATTACACTGGAGGGGTTGAGACCTGCCCAGATG